AAGATGAGAACATTGCCATGTCTCTCTCTTCAGGTCTTTGTTGCTGGCAAAATTATTCAGATCAGAAGCATGAAAGAAATACATACTTTTTTCAGGTGTTTCCAGAACTGCCCTGCACAGCAACAGCGGTGCCAAGGAAAATCAGATGGTGAACTTATCACTCCCAAAACCGCAGTGATGTTTTTGCTTCAGCTTGCTCAGGGCTCTGCATTTGTTTCTGGCAGCTGAGCCAGCAGCAAAGTGAGGGGAGATGGTGGCCCAGCTCCTTGGAGCAATCAGACAGGTTTGGCAGAGAAAGCAGGAGAAGAGCAAAATCTAGTTCAGCTTTACAACGTATTATATTCAGAACTCAGGTAGCTTACCATGACTATAGACCTATGGCATTTAAAGCCTCATGATACAGGAAATGGGGGGGAACATCCCTTCTAAGCCACCCTTTCAGCAGCATGTCTGGCTGCTTTTTCAATGGAATGATAAGGAAGCAGGGAAGAAAATGTTACAGAGTTTGTGTTTCTCCTGTTGGCTGCTCTTCCTTTCCTGGACTGTCCCAGGTTACCTCTATACATTCAGGTTGTGGGAAGGGAACATGCCTCAGCTATCAGTGACATGCCTTGGAGACACTGACAGATGTAGCCTCCTAAAACATTAAGCGTTACTGAGACACTGGTACAGGTGATCTCATTTTTAAAGAGCGTACAATAAAGCCATCAGAGACAGGACCTGCCAGCCCCTCTTGTCATTGGCTTTCTCCACAGGTCTTCATAGTCCAAAATATCCTCCCTGCTGCTAGCATAACAGATTTCTCATTTTTTCAGGAGCTGTCTGAGGTGTCCACAGCCCTGACCAAGCCCTCAGGATCATCCCCCTTGATTGGCCCATAATCACCAAATGACACAGCACAGCTATCAATGCAATTTTCAGAGGAGACCAGCTATGACTCTGGGAGCTCTGAAGCTCCAGAGGGCAGTCACATCATCTCTCCTTCCAGAGCCCATCAGTGCAAAAAAGTGCTGGGATGCCGTGGTACTGAGCAAGGCACGGGTGCACAAGAACTGACATGGGTTCAGTCAACTGCCTCTCCATTCAGCACCTCCCTTTGTGCTTTTCATTCAACTTCTCTCTCAGCAATATTAGCTGCTGACAGTCTTTACACCTTCTTGCACTGAACAGAAGCAAACCCATTCTGCCTCCCTGCTTTTCAGTGCTGAAACAGACCTATCCCCTTTCTGTTTAGACCAACATAGCATTCCTCACAGACTGTATTCCCTCTCCTAAAGCATTCCCATCAGGTGCTTACCAGCGGTTTGACCCTAGCTTTCTAAGGGAGGGAGCACCATTAGCAGCTAAAAGCACAGGGGTAGGAGACATGAGAGTTCAATGCTCCACTCCACTACTGTGCCACCTTGGGCCAGTCACTTCATCCTTCTGACCGACAGTTCTGCATCTGTTAGATGACAGTAATAGCAGTTGCTCACTTCACAGGGACAGTGAAGATCTTTGCTGATTGAATCTTTAAGAAGTGGCCTGACTGGAAGACATGGTAAAAGTGTTGCACATGATTAGCTCTATGTTGCCTCTTCATAAAACACATTTCTCTCTGCCCTCATCCAGCACCTCAGAAGACAATCAGGCTGGCCTGGATTTCACAGGCCTGCTTCCTCTGCTCAGTGCCTAGGCTGATCTTAGCTGCTCTGTGACTACAGGTGCCTCTGCTGTCTCATAATGCAAAAGACATGGCCTACTCAAGGCAGAGGGGAAGGGCTGCAGAGAGAAAGGCTGCAAAGCATGCCAAGTCCAGAGGAGAGGGGCAAACTGCCATAGAGGAACAGTCGTGCAGTGCAGAATGGCTTCCCTGTGGACTGTGAGCCCCAGCAGTGGCCACGGGAAACCATACAAAAAATATCAAATCTGAGAAAAACTTTAACGGATTCAAAATTTAATTTTGAATCTGAACACAACATACAGCCTACAGCCCATCCCAAATCCTTGCCTGAAGTTCTAGCCACCTACTGGAATTATTCAGGATTCCTCTATCACCTCTTCCTTTTCAGACTAACTTTTTGTACTCCTCCCTCAGGCTAACCTAACACAGCCCTCTACTTCTGCCTAGGTCAGCCTATCTCTCTCACCATCTCTGAACCTCTTTGTATCAAGAACATCACTTCATTTTCTGGTCCCTCTGCCTGACACATTGCCCTCTACTCACTGGAGACTCATCTGCGCTTCCAGCCTAGGCTTGGACATGACCCAGTGGCAATGCATAGGGGGTGCACGGGGGTGCACCCCCTGACAGGCCACCACTCCCTGCTTGGGCAAGGGGCAGGTGGGGCAGGCGGGAGTGCCAGTGCTCCCCTGCGAGCGCCGGCCAGGGAGTGGGAGCATCTGGATAAAGTGCTGCAGCCACTTCCAGGAGCACTGTGGCCACTTCCCAGTTGGTGCAATCAGCCGCGGGGGGGATGCCTTGGTCGGCGAGACTGGCCGTGGGGACACCTACCCTACCCACCCCCCCCAGTTGCTGACTGATCGCTGGGGGAGCACATGCCTCCCTCCCCCCCCCGACTAAGGTGGCCCCAGTCACCCATGACATGACCTCTCACTAATGCTAACAGCATGCATGCAACGCAGATGGCATAGAACTGCAAGGGGACAGAGCATTATCCATGACGGACTCTGCACAATTTAGCTGCCAAATTAACCAGCCGCTACTGAGTAGGAATGAATCATCTCAAAGAAATGTTCATAATTAACATGTGAGGCTTATGAAGCAGAGAAGACAGATGAGATCCCTCAAGCAGGGGAGATTCTAACTCTGGAATTGCTCTCAAATTATCTGGTATAGTAAAAGTCATAGTTTTAAATGTAGACAGACAGCACTGCTGGACTTTACTTGAAGTGTTGCACCAGAAACACCATGCCAAGGATAAAGCTTCTCTGAATGAGAGTATGGTGTGTTACTAGAAGGCAGGTGCGGAGGATTCACTGACTGTCAGTATTGTAGACGTGTATGTCCTGCTATCTGTCATAGAGGATCAGAACTTGGCCCAATTTAGGCAGGTTTTCATGGTAATAGCAATGTTCCTCACAACAGTGGAATCACCAGGCTAAACTTCAAGATGAAGCTTTAAAACAAGCATGCTAGAGATTCTCAACAGAACAGTGGCACCCATCCATAGCACAGACCAAACAAAATATTTTCCCATAACCCTTTCCTAGAAAAGAGCTGAATTCTTTCAGCTAAAATATTAAAAAATACAGGCTGATGCAAACAACGGAAATTTCAGCCCAAATGGTTTGACAAAGTTAAGAAACTGAAAATGGGGTCTTACAACAGAGAGCAACAGGCTACTTCAACTCTCAACATTAATATTAGCTTGCCCTGCAATATCATATTTAATATTGAACGCATGTGAAACAGTGGTATTATGAAGTTTTCCTACATTGGAATGGATACACATTGAGAGCCCAAAAGGAAGTACCAGGATGTGCCTGCATGGGCTCCTCTTGTACATAAAGAATAAAAATAATAATAATGTTATGGGGGCTGCTGTTTAAGCTCAAATACATTAGTTCAGTTCCACCGGGCCAATTCAGATCTCACACCTGTTTAAACTGTGAAAACAACACAGAACTACATGGGTGTTATAACAGTTTGAAGCTTTTGCAAGAGAAGAATTCAGCTCACTGACTTCAGCTGAGTCACTGTCACAGCAATGTGAGAGAGAGAGCAGGCACTCTGCGATTGCATAGAAAGAATGCACCATAGAAAGAATGGGTGCTGGAACTCAGGTGTTCTCAAGAGAGCATACATTTCTAAATAAGCATAAAAATATATCATGTGAAGTTCAAAAGCTTCAGAGGCAATACCTTTTTTGTTTGCAAAATAATTGGCAAAACACACTGCTTGTTTACTGATACCTTAAAACACGTCATTGAAAAAGGTGAGGCAATCTAGGGAAAAGTCTTACAGTTGTTTTGGGCTGTAACCACCTTCATATTTCTGATAAATAGACAGTGGTTTTAAATTCTTATCAACTCAGATCTTATAAAATACTTCTAAAAGTATGGACACAGTCCCTGTTCTATATTGAAGGTCTACAACACAACCTTTCCTGAGAGGAAGCCACAAAAGCCCTGAGCCTTTTCTGGGGAGGGCAGCATATAAATCTAATAAAGAAATAAAATAAAGAAATAAGTATTCAAAAAAAGATTTAACATGATCAAATGAAACATATTTTGGGATTTACATGCTATTTAATCAGTATCATATTCTTGGCACTATAATTCAGCATGAAACCCATTAAAATGGTGACGTGATAAAGACTAAACAGTAGTTTGTACTGGGAATGGCAGCTTATGCAGAACTGCTGGATTGGTGAATACGATGTTGTAATTATCAAATAAGCCAGATAAATAAATGCATATGTAGGTTTGGATGGGTGGTGCAGATACAGTGTGACAGAGGTAATGACCGTGAACAGACTTCAACTACTGTATTGTATATCAAAGTACAACATCAATTGCCTTAAGCTCAGTAATCACACTGGAATGCATTACAGGACTCTGTACTTAGGAGTATCAAAAAAACTAAGACCTCTGGCATATTACAAAAGCTGACTGTCTGTTTACAATCTTTGATCCTTAAGGAAGTTTTCATACAAAAGAGAGAAAATACACTTCTTCAGAAGAAAATGGTTAACAAAGCTTAATTTTTTTAATAACTGACAATAAATAATTAAAAGAAAGCTTGTGCAGCATAAAAGAACAAAAAGCTTTGTTTTTTAGTGCCTTACAAGGCCTTATATAGGTTTCTGTGATCATTCTGTACAATTTTTGACCGAATCAAAATCAAAGAGTGACTTTACAATTTAAATGCAACTTGCAAGAGAAAGTAATTACCTCTCAAATCTCTTTATCATAATGTCTTTTTGGGCCAACTCCATCTTTATGAACAATTTGATATAGCCTTTAAAACAAATCAAAACCAAGTTCAGTGTACTTACTAGCTCTGGTAGGATAAAAGCATATGGTATTGTTTTAAACACAGCTGATCCGGAGGGTATGACAGGTTCTGGTTGGGTGGCAGGTGGTGGGAGAGAGCTTTGTGCCATTTCTTCTTCTTTGCGTAAATTGCTACAGTTTCAGCTCCGCTACACTTGGATTTATCTGTGCAATCCCACTGATATGCAAAGCTTAAAAGAGTAACCACTGACACACCCATATGGACGTAATCAGTAAAACCAGTCCCAGCCTGGCAGGTCTCTCCACTCATTACAACTAGAAGAATCATCAGCTACTCCCTGGCTAAATATCATGCCATAAAGGGCTCAAGCAGATCAAGAGCCATTTTTGAAAAATGAATGAAAACTTGGGTGTGTGCACACGTTGCAATATTTTTGTGCCAGAGCCATAGGAGCTCCCTTGCAAACTGGACTTGTCATGGTAGCATTTAACTAATACCCAAAACAAAACAAGAGATTCAACAGACCCTGATAAAAGAGCAATCAAAATTAGAGAAGAGAAAACCCTATCAGGAAACCCAACCCATCCCTGTGCCAGGGCAGGGACATACCCTACTACAGAATGCTCAGTGACACCAACTCTACCGCGGGCTTTGGGCCTTCCCATTGAGAGAGCTTCACCCTGATCTGCTGCCTTGTGCCATCTTAAATAATTCTCTTCCTTTGGTGTTTACAACCCATATACATGCAGGCTGTTAGCTAACTCCCCACATAACATCCTTACCAAACTCTCCACACCTTAGATATTGCTTAACTCATATATATATATATATATATATATATATATATATAGATTGTAGAGTCGGAAGGGACCACAATGGATCATCGTGTCTGATTCCCTGTCCCTGGCAGGAAAGAGGACCGAGGTCAGATGACCCCAGTCAGGTGACTATCTAGCCGCCTCTTGAAGACCTCCAAGCTAGGTGATAGCACCACCTCTCTTGGAAGCCCATTCCAGATCCTGGCCACCCTTACTGTGAAAAGTTTCTTCCTAATATCTAACCTAAATCCACTCTCAACTAGTTTACACCCATTATTCCTAGTCACTCCCTGGGGTGCCTTAGCAAACAGCGCATCCCCTATTCCCCGTTGACCTCCCCTAATAAATTTATAGGTGGCCACAAGATCTCCCCTCAGCCGTCTCTTGTGAAGGCTGTAGAGATTCAGCTTTCTCAACCTCCCCCCATAGGGTCTATCATGAAGGCCACTAATCATGCGAGTGGCCCTCCTCTGGACCCTCTCGAGATTCCCCGCGTCCCTCTTGAAGTGTGGCGCCCAAAACTGGACACAGTACTCCAACTGTGGCCTGACCAGTGCCGCATAGAGGGGGAGCATCACCTCCTTTGTTCTATTAGTCATGCACCTGCTAATGCACGACAAGGTGCGATTGGCCTTGTTGATGGCCTCGTTACACTGCTGGCTCATGTTCATCTTGGAGTCAATTATGACTTCAAGATCCCTCTCTGCCTCCGAGCTGATGAGAAGGACACCCCCAACCTATAGGTGTGTTGTGGGTTCCTCCTTCCCAGTATATTATATTACCAACACAAGAACTATGTTAGGAGAATGTTATTAAGGTTGCAAGATCAGGCAAATGCCAGAACTAAAGCTGCTTGAGCAAAATATTTTTGATCGTCTTTTTATTCTATAGGACTCCTGCATCATTCTGCAAACAGAAGGGATGTGCTCTGGGAAACAATCCATGCAGGGCAATAAAGAAGTCTGTTATCTGCAGGACCCCTACTGCATTCATTATAGAAGCTGGGAGGTGTGCAGTGAAAGAGGCAGGGGATGGCAGGAAGAAAGAAGACAGTCTTCCAGCTGATGCAGCTTCATGCTGCCCTGGAGAATGAGTTTCTGTCCCTGTCTCTCTCTGCCAGCGTGAAACTGATAGTTTCTTGATAGTTGCTTAAACTACACTTTTTAGAGGTAGCCAATAATTGTGCATTTCTCATTTCCAGATGCAAATGCAAGTGAATGTGTGAAGTGCTGAAGATGATGTGTTGCGGATGATAAAAAGTGTGGGCTGCTGAGGGTAACTAAGTGCCAGCAAATGCAGAGGGTATATGAGCATGGGGCTTTCCAGTGAAAGTGAATGATGTGGGGTGCTGGGGCAAATAACAGGAGTTGGTAAAGATGTGGGATGTTGATGCAATGGCATAAGCATATGGAGTTGAGGGAGAAACTTCAGGGTGTCTGAGGCAGTCCCACCATTCTGCCCCGTCCCTGTTCAGGCTCTGCCCACACTATCCTGCATTTCCAATCTCCACCATACCCCTTTCTGCCCTCACCCTGCCCCCTTGTCTTGCCCTCTCTACTGCCTTCCCCCCAGTCTGGGGGATGTGTGCTGGCCTGGTGCCAGTCAGGGAGAAGAGGCAGGCAATCTGCTAGTCAGCCTGAAGCCAAGTGCCACCTCAGCCCCAGGTTGCCTGGGAAAGAACCACAGGTCCTATCTATGTCACAGTTGAATGCATGGGAAGCCAGGGATAGACATGGACAGTTCAAGACTGTTCATAACCATCTTTTGGGGGGGAAACAGTCATTTAACACTATCTTTAATAAGGCATTCCCCAAAAGAGACCACACAGTTAAAGGGAAAGAAATACGAAAATATGTGCAAATAAAAGGTTTACTCGGCTTTTGTAATTTGCAGTAGTTTAGCAATTTCCCTCTGCCCATGTTTGATAATCATCCTTTGTGATGGTTTCCTTTACAATTAAATTAAGTCTACCATAGCTGACCACCAAACCTCCGAAGACAACTAAAGGCTTTTCTGCATGTCTCAATTAAATCTAAGAACAAAACTTCCTACTGTTCTGACAGTACAAACAGTAGAATAAACTGCCCAGGGAAAGTATGAAATTTCCTTCATTGGAAGGGATTGGACTGGACATCCAGGTACCAAAATAAAACCCGGGCAAAAAAAGCGGGGCAGGGCACAGTCCCGGATCATGCCCTGAGGCAACCGGAGACTCGGGTCCTCCACAGAAATGCTCTGGTAGTCAGCCACAGTGTCTCTATGGCTGGCCCTTGCCCCTGCACAGGGCAAGCAGCATGCAGGCTGTAGGGACCCAGGCTTCCTTCCAAGTAAGTAGGGGTTGGGTGGGATGGGGGAGGGGGGCGGAGATGACCCTAACCCTAACCCAGTCTCCCCGCTCACCTCATGGCACAGCTCTCCCGCAGGTCAGTGTTGGGCAACAGGGCTCAGTCCCAGCCGCCTGGCACATGTGCTGCCGCTGCTGCATCACACGGATACAACTCGGCTCGGCTCAGCAGGGCGCCATGGCTCAGGCTCCGGGCGACAGCTCCAGCAATCCTGAGCTGTCAGAAAGTGTGCGGCACCGTGCGGTGCCCTACTGAGCTGGGCTGCACTTGTGCAATGTGGCAGTGGCAGTGCGGGTGCCAGGCAACTGGGGCTGAGAACCACTGCCCTCCGCTGCCCCACACTGTGCAGGGGGGCTGTGCCATGAGGCCCTGAGTGGCCCTGACAGCCGCTGCTA